TGATACGATTCAAGAATGTTCAAAACAAAATATCTTAGATCGGTATGCTAACTGAAAAATTAAGTTACATGTCAACAAGATTATTATGGCAGCTGCCATTTTCCCAGTTTGCATGCCGTACAAGTACATTTTTGAATTAAAAATGTAGAGTAAATTGAGATACATTCAGGTGTAATAAATCCTTCTCAAGCTGAAGTTTCTTCCAGCTGAATAATTTGCTTTTAGCAAAGTTTATATTTCGTCTGCTTTCTGACTGTACCCATGGTTGATTATGAACAAAGTCAAAGTGGTCTTTACCAATTGGGTTCCGGTGGAGACACAGGCACTAAAATTAAGAGAAATGTAATTTACTTTTAATATCTATTAAAAATCAAAATAGCAGTCTCTCTCTCTGTATATATATATATATATATATATATATATATATATATATATATATATATATATATATATATATATATATATATATATATATATATATATAAATCATTAACGATATAGCTGCACTTAATTGTAGTACATTTTATTGAGTATCGAATAGTAATGAAATTACATAAAGAACATTAATTTAGACAGAATACACAGGAAAATGAAGAAAATATGAACTTGAAAAACGGGACAAATAAGGAATGGAGAGGACAAGTACTCAACAATCAATTGTCTGTGACAAGTGGCATGGAGAAAATAATTATATTCTATTAAACTATCATTTTAGGAAGAAATGTATATTTAGTTAGTAATAACCACTCCCACCACACACTATATGCATTTCTGATAAGGGAACGATGGGTATAGCAGAGAAAATTGGCCTAATGTCAGTATTATGTGAAGATTGGGAGTAACCATTTGAAGAATACCAATATATATATATATATATATATATATATATATATAAATATATATATATATATATATATATATATATATATATATATCTATATATATATCTATCTATATATATATCTATATATATGTGTGTATATATATATATATATATATATATATATATATATATATATATATATATATATATATATATATATATATATATAGAGAGAGAGAGAGAGAGAGAGAGAGAGAGAGAGAGAGAGAGAGAGAGCTGATTAATTGTTGTCTTGTGTATTTACTCATATAATGTCCAGCTTGATCAGCTTGATACACACACACATACATACACATATATATATATATATATATATATATATATATATATATATATATATAGAGAGAGAGAGAGAGAGAGAGAGAGAGAGAGAGAGAGAGAGAGAGAGAGAGAGAGAGAGAGAGAGAGAGAGAGAGAAAGAGACAGACAGACAGACAGAAACAGAGAGAGACATAGCTAATATTAACATTTATGAAGATGCCCCGACACTATAAAATCCGTGTCTGATATATAAACGATGCAATGTAGCAAATAAGATCAATTTATTTGAAGTAAGTTTTGGTTCGTTTCCTTACAGGGCATTCATTTGGCTTTAAAACTTTCCGCTTATTTCGTTTCCCCGTCCCCACTATTTATGCTCAGGAAGTGGAAAGGGGATGTGCTGTTATCGAAAAAAATATATATATTTTTCCTTCGTGTACAATGCATCATGAACTTGTGAAAGCCAGGTACACTATTCTCTTTCTAAATTATAATTTATTATATCAAAATTTTGACTTGAATTAAAGTAAGAAAGACAGTTTAATATTACCAGGCACAACCGTCTTTGTCGGATACATCATTCTTTCATTATGGTAAATCTTTCTATTATACAGACAAGAAATAGAGTCCCGCAGGCTATATAAATAATATCAACAACTAATATGGTGTTATAGTATCATTATGTATATGTTGATTTTGACACTATGTTATCAGCATTTTAATTAGCGAAACTGTTTAAAACTGATTATGATTATGACAACTGTAATCACGTCAAAATTAATTATGACTGTCATGCATCTCCTGAAATTGTTGTCCGTCACTTATTTCGACCTGAATGATACCTTAAATTGAGATCATTACACATTGGAAACAACACATACCATTAAGCCTATAAATTACATGCTTTTACAAAATAAGCAGTGAGTCATTCATAATTATTTGAAAGTGTAAGAGCAGACGAAAATATTCCTATGTACTAGAAGTCTTCATATGTACTCATTCTGGTGATTATAGAAGTTTTTCGCGGTGTCAGAATGTGACTGGGTGGGATATCATGCTACATGTCTGCGGTATGATGCCCAAGTGCAAGACATTATTATAACATGCCACACTGCAGATATAGTAGCGATATGACTGAAATATTGTTAAAATTACGTTAATAATCTAAACCACACACACACACGCACGCACACACAAATACACTCATATGCTGTATTGTTTGCTGTATGAAGTATATAACAGCGTACGCCATAAGCTCTATTAATTGCCTTAAATTGTGTACTGACGTACAATCATGTGTTGTATTGTGTGTTGTTTCACTGATATTTTATAGGCTGCGTTAAAATATTGGCATGTTCTAATTCATTTGCTTCAATGTAAGAAGTTTATTATATGATAGGAATGGACTTCTTCCAACTGTAAGGCTTGAAGCTGCATAGTCATACATTTGTATTGCATCTTGTTTTTGATGCTCCGAATGTATACGTTCTTTCATGTGTAGTTTTGGCGGTTTATGTACGTTTAGCTTCGTTCTTAAACTCAGTATATCTAAACTTGGGGAGATACTTTAACAAAAATTGTCATTTTACTTTGCGAAAATCTAAATGACAGTATCAGATAATTGTCTTTTCATTTCTGTTTTGAGTATTATGTTCTAAAGAGTAGACATTCACGTGCGATTTAATGGCAGACACTAATTGCAACGTGAGAAAGCTGCTTACACAAAAAGGTGTATGTTCATACGTTGGAAATAGCTACCAGTGCATATATTTATTCGCTGGATAGTTTACAGGTTAACACTAAAAATTGTTAGAATTGAATTACAATTGTTTTATTCTTGTCAAAATGTAAAAACATTGCTGGTATTGATCCCTCTATTTCAGCCATTTATTTTCTCGTATATCGATGCACAAGGTTATACGTAGGGTGTTCATCGTCCACAACATAAACTGCCTGAAGGAAGGAAGGAATAAATATTAAAAACATGATCTACAGTAAGAAATTTGGGGTTGGCAGGGATTAATATTTCACAATATTGTTTACATCTGATATGATTCAGGAATGTACTTGACAAAACATCTCAGGCTGGTATGCCAATTGGCAAAATGGCGTCCGACTTTATGATCTGGCTCTTGACAGACAATTTCCAGATAGCATACCTATCTAAGATATTTTGTCTAGAACATTCTTCAGATGTAAAAGAATGCGATATATACCAGTGGATTAGACCATGCAGAATTTAAAATATCTTCATGCTGACAACTTTACGCAATATATAATTTCCGTCTGCCTCGCGATTGTTACCGTAACTTCCTGAAAGCTCCCGTCCCTGACTTGGAATACCAGATGATATGAATTAATATACACTGTAATATTTATCAAGTAAGTAATTATAAAGATTAGTATATAAAATGAATCTAATTTAATTTACCCATCAAAAAATATCAAAATTGATTGTGGAATGTCTAAACCGCAACACGAGTATAACTTTAATGTGCTTTTGTATTATTAAATGTATATAATTAATAAACAGTTAACTACCCCTTTAGAAAACCTAGAATTGCTCATATAACAGAAAAAATGGTACTGGAAAAGGCTGTGCGTAAATCTTGCAAATAATACTGGGGCTTCCCATTTGGTAAAAAAAACCCTGCAATTGCCTGGATATAAACCCTTGTCCAGTGTGTATTGATCAGAAGTATTAAGTTGAATAATAGTGGCTAACAAAACTTCTTAAATATAAAACTTTGTGAAAATAATTGAAAATGACAAGCAAATATAAATTTAAAAAATTTCAAAATGCAGGTATATTTTCTTTATACGTGTCAGCATCTTGTTCATAAAACGAATAATCGGGAGATAATACGAATGTTGAATAGGACATAGTGTACAACCAATACTATGTAACATGCATATGGGTACTTTGTAGCATACCAGACACGGAAACAAGGTCGGTTCGTATCAGCTCTGCTTTTTGCCTAATGCACTAGAGAATGTCCAGTCAATTTTGCTACATGAAAGAGACAAATGACAAAATGGAAATAGCGAACTTTCTGAAATTTCAGGTTGTTATTAACTTTGAATTTTAGTTGGAATAGTTATTGTTTCTTCAAAACAATTGAGATTTGTGCAGATGTACGAATGAGCCGTTTATTTTCTATCAGTTTTGGCACAAATTCTGATTCCTGTCGAAAACCAAATTTCATTTAATAACAATAACACCTTTATCCTATTGATCCCGCATAATTTTCAGCATTTGATGAGCTTCTATAAGTGATTTTAACGTTTTAGCAGATTTTTTACATTTGCATCTTTTTATCTTACATAATCTCATACAATCTGCTGATATTGGTTATCATCCAGGTAAGGCCTTTATATATCTCTCATACAGCTATATGTAAATGAGGTCCATACCCAAATTGTGATATGGTTTATTTACGAATATCAACTTTAATATACCATCAAAGAAAAGTGCTTCGCTTTTAAGACATCATTTTTTAATTACAGTTATTTTGGCTAATCGGTTTTAATTTTAAAATATGCTCCTGTTAATATCATGTTTTAAAAAACGCTAGAGTGAAGGTATTGCTTTAATAACGTTGGGGGCCTATTGTTGATCGGTGGCTAGATAAAAGTAGATTTTCATAGCAAAGAATTTAATAAACCACTAAGGATTTTTTTAAGGTTGTGTCGCCAGAGCAGCTGACAAAAAGTCATAGAGTATATACAGTCCTTGTTAAACGTTTATTTCTTCTCTTGAATTTGATTACCTCCGAACATTTGTTTTTACTTTTATATTTAACAAGTTAATTTTTTTTGTTATTGCTGACAGTGTTATTATGAATGGAAACTAATCGCTCTGGTGGCCTAGCGGTTAGAGTGTCCGCCTCGGACGCGGAAAGTCGCGCATTCGAACTCCGGCTAAGTCATACCAAAGACTTGCAAAAATGGAACTAACAGCTGCCTCGCTTGACGCACAGCATTAAGAGGTTAGTGATAGGACTGGTCGGCCCGGTGTCAGGATAATGTGACTGGGTGGGACATCATGCTACATGTCTTCAGCATGATTCCCCAGTGCTAGATATCACTATAAACTGCCACTCTGCAGACATCGTAGAGATATGACTGAAAAATTGTTAATGCTACGTTAAAAATCTAAATCACACACACACACACACACACACACACATACTCGATGAAAACTAAGATAACACAAAGGCTTTACTAAACATACAATATATATATATATATATATATATATATATATATATATATATATATATATATATATATATATATATATATATATATATATATATATATATATATATATATATATATATATTGCTTTTCATTTGGTTTTGTCTGTTTAATTGAAAATGTTGAAAAATCACGTAATTAAGGCAGAGTTAAACGTAAGAAGACCGAAAATCGCTTTTAAAAGCGCAAAATGTGGTCGTCCGTATGGAATTCCCCGTCTAGAAATAGAATTTGAATTAGGTTGTATGGTCACGTGACCTCTCTGACCTCTGATCATGGTCTGAGTTGGGAGTAAGTAGGTAACATACGTTGATGCCTTCACGGTAATATTTATGGCAATAAGAACACATTTACTGCTACTGCTGTCCAAATGATCAAGCAATTGTATTGTGCAATAATGCCATTTCCAATGTTTGATCCGTTATTTTAGAAAATATATAAAGCCAGTCAAATTATTTTGTAGTGCAATCATATACTTATGTTATTAAGTGAAAGTTCACCCTGTAACATTACTCTGTTTCGTACATTGTTTGATATTTCCAGCAATTGTAATTGCTTTGACAAAGTAGCACAGAACTCTTTATCGCTTTCATCAGTTTCCTGTACACCGTTTCATGTATGGTCGGTCATGCACTGTCGTGTGTACTTTCATAAATATTAACAGTGATAGTTATAATCTACATTTATTACTAAAGTCTACATAATCCAAGTATTTGGAGCAGGTACTGTATATGCTAAGCAAGGTGATACACGTCAATCAAAACAATATCCTGCCTGTATAGCAAAGATCACCAAATGTTTATCCAGCAAGTGTACAAGAAGAGGAAAATCTTTCTTCTGGGCTGATTTTAAAATTGAGAAACACAGTAAAACAGCTCTGTTTCATGCAATGTTTCATTCATCTTTATTTGGTTTTTGGTTTTAACAGCTAGAGATGTACAACCATTAATAGGCCGAAAATGACATCAAGTTTTTTAAAAACATTTTCCATTGACTTCAGAAGGTCTTGCTCCTTCACAAACGAAATCTTTGCTCGAAGTTCTATCGTCTAGTTAACGAAAAATGAAGCGATAAAAACCGTATTTTACAAAGTTGATCTTAGAGTAAGACTAAGGAAGAGGATTCTTTAAAGACTCATGACTGCCGTTTGAATGTGGTGATTAGTAAGCTACGATAGTCGCCGATGTATTAAACACCTCATGGGACATTGTTTAACCATTTATTTTTATTAAAGTGGCAAACAGAATTGTCGAAAATTATCAACATTATTTTAAAAGCTTGTAATTGTTTATTTCCTGAACATATCTTCAAAGGGATGTACTTGCACACAGCGCATTCTGTCGGAACTGAGTTTCATTAAGATAAATCTTGAACTAAGTCAAGACATTTGACTGATCAATTTTGAGTCAGACCTAAATTGCAATCAAATCAGATTACTCAACTCGATACTTGAATATAAGTAGACGTAATCTTGATATTTCATAGCCAAAAAGTTTTATGACCATAATGCAGTGGCAATACCTTACCATGAATTGAAATGGTCTTGATTTAATGTCTCATGACCTTTGAGCTAATTCAGTCTTTCGTTTTGTCTGAGCTCACAGTGTGACATTTAGTCGACAACCGTACTAGTTGAGGAACGAAATATGGCTTGCTTACCTAAACAGAAATCTATTTCAAGGAAATACTTTCATACTTGCAGAAATTGTTTTTAAGTGCTACACCCTGGAGAAAGAAATAAATGTTATACCCATCTAAAGCAAAAGAAAAAGAAATAAAACACCATCAACAAGAATTAGTACAATATTAATACAATTTCTATATTTCTCGGTGTGAATAAGATTGAACATGACAGTCCTGCCATTCGTGCTCAGGTTATAAATGTATATATTAAAATTTCAGCGCATTAATTTACAGATGGATAAAGAATACGTCTTTTTCATATAGTTAAACGTCTTCGAAGGTATCAACAGAATATTCCTTAATTATCCTTAATTATCCTCTGTAAAACATTGAAGGATCTTCTCTATGATGTCCTTAATTATACAACAAAGCATATACTCATTCGTCAGTCTTTAGATCATAAATGTCTTGTATTTGTTGAATTAGTGGACTGGCGAAGCGTTAGAAAGTTGCAAATGTCCGTATCTTAGTAGGTCAAAATACACTGTCATTAAATACGGATGTTCTCTGAGGAATAGAAGATTTGAAAACCAGATGATAATTCCAAAAAAAAACTATCGATGAAAAGGTTTTTTGTCTTCGGTTATACAACAGGAAGACACTTCATATACCTCATTTGTAGACAGAAACCTGCATATTTGTGGAGAATCCAAGCTTCGTGAGTATTTTACGTCATTTTACGTCATTTTCGTCATTTTCAGGAGAAAGAAGTACTATTATCGGACTACGATATTGGCTTACCCATAGAACTATCTTTAAAGCAGTGGATTCACTTACGACGATCAAATACCATTTTATCTTAATCGGCCTTTCCTCGATGGGCAATATAAGTTCTGGATTCAATAATATGTTGGCGTAGTCTCTGTATAGCTTTCCTATAAATGAACAATTTGTATCTCCTTTGTATACGCTGTCCGCTCTCACATTTATCCATTGTACCCTTGTATGCACCCAGTGCTCTCAGTTATGTCTTCTGTGCTTTGATATACATTACACCCTGTTACATCTAACTCTTGTACCATTGCATACACTTCATGCTGTCAAATCTTTCTATACTTCGTGTTTGTGAAGTGAATAGTAACACTCGATAATCCTTTATCACTTGCATGCAATTTATATGATATTTCCATTGTGTCATAATCGGAACATTGTTTTATTATTTTAAGAATATATTAAGTTAAATGTATAAATATTGCGTTCAAGAGTTCATATTAAAAGTAGGAGATAAAACAGGGACCTGAGGAGGAAACACGTACTTTGATCTTTCTTCTGTAAGGAAAAACTTTAGAAATGATTCAGTTTCGAATCAGAGATGAAATTGTACTTGATAGCTATGATATTTAAACTCAAAAGAGATAATGTTACAATCTAAGATAAGAGAAAAAAAAGAAACATAATCAAAACGTATATTCCAAGTGACAAGAACTATAAGATAATTCTCACACAATCCCTTTTGTTTGTACTCCGCTAGCGATTTTTAAAACAGAAGGCATACAGGTTATAAATAATGCAGATTACTGTTCTTTAACTCATTGATTTATACCTTCAATCTTGATTGTTACCAGGTGGCCTTAAACATTGTATACGGTCGCCATAGTATTAGCATAGTATTTGTTGTCAAGCAACATAATGTTTGACTTTGACAATCTCAATAATTCTGTGAATTTTGGAGTTAAATCTCTTTGAAGAAATGTATAAAATTGTTCCTTCTATTTATCAATTCTATTATTTGGAAATATATGAACTAGACACTGCAAATATTGGATAAATAAAACAGTTTTCACTGAAATTGACTATTCTAGAAACCAGAAATGGACCGCTAGCAGTCGATGTGCTTGTTTACATCGGGAGTTTCCATTTGCGTTTGCATAGTTTCGCTATCTACCTTTCCCCAGTTCGCATTCATTCGACTGCGGATGGTGTCAAGGTGATTTATGGAGGATAAATCAAGGTAAAAAAAACATTAGTTTCGGCCTGGAAAATCATATATATATATATATATATATATATATATATATATATATATATATATATATATATATATATATATATATATATATATATATTCCATCAATTAAATATTGGTCCCAGTGTATTGAACGATGAATCCCTAGCACCCCAAAATGAGTCTAATGTACATCAAAGGATTCTAAATCTATCCAGGATAGAGTGAACAAAGATATCCCTTGCATTTGACGAACGTAGTAATGGATGTGAAATAAAATTACACATGGAAATAAATGCTATGCATTCTTATTCATGGAATAAACTGAACTTAATTTTTGTACTCTGAATAAAATTCAATTTTGTATCTATGGTAAGGGAAAAATATTACTTGAAAGAAAATGAACCGAATGCATTATACGCAAGCCTGAAGTTAATAACTACAATGCAATCATAATTAGTAGCAAGTAGCGTAACAGCTTCATTACACCAACATGCTAATGTCTCTCAACACCTATTCTACATCGTAATAACCTTCTTTTCCATATGGTGTCTCCATCAACTGTTGCATTAGTAGAGACAGAATGTCCTCTTAAACGCTTGCTGAAAGCACACACAAATTTGAGTTTAGTAGCATTCCACGTAAGCATAATGTACAAGACGTTTTTTCCTAGAAAGAAAGTACTATTAAAGCTCAAATTTGCACATAAAATATAGACAAGACTCTATACTGTCCCATTAGAGATCAATATTGTCCTTCGAGTTAGAAGGTGACCATGACAACACTAACTGGCTTGGTTTGTGTGAGTTCGTTAGTGGTTGATCAGGCCAATTTGTGCTCTGATTTATCTGTGATACATTTGACAGCAGATGGCGCTTGAGTTTGCTTGATCCATAGAGAACATGCTGCAGTTCTTAGATTTATGCTGTTCAAGCTTCTGTACTATCTCTGCAATTCACTTCTGTTCAAAGTCTGTAGCTGCAGCATGGATGAGATTGCGCCACGTGGAGCGATCTTCCCAAGACTCAGGTTAATTTTGAA